GTAGGGTAACATGCTTGCCACGACGGCCTTCGATTCGTCTTCTTTAAGGTTTAGAAATTTACTAGACTCCTTTTAGAATTAGCAAAATACTAAAGCTATTTATAATTATCGAAAATAATTTTCTTTTTTTTTAAAAACTAACGTAATTGATTATTATCTTTCTGTAATTACTATTACTATAAATAATATATATCCCTGAAATAAGACGTGTTTTTAGACTCCTTTTAGAATTAGATTCTCTGTTTCCCTTTCACGCCTTTTTCTTCAATTGCTTTTTCTGAGTCTCTCAATCCATTTGCATGGCTACATATGGACGAATTTTTAAAGGTTACGCTTATGCCATCAAATATAAAATTTTGATGACATTATGTGATAAAAAATTAGTTTCATTAATTTTCATAATTTGTTTTAGTGAACAATCATCGGATCAATTTGTTTTTATAATTTCATTAATTTTCATACTTTATTATAACCGTCGGATTAATATTTTATGATTAAAATAATAATAGTCGTTAACAAATAAATATTATAGTAACCATTAAAATTACCCATGCTACACATATGTCATTATTGTGATTTGCGCTTTTAAAAAACGTGGCCCTTTCTTTTGTAGTTTTTGGTTTGCTATTTTCCTTTATTATTATCTCAGAGTATTTATAGTTAGTATAAGATAATATATATATATATATATATATATAAATCGTTTGCGTTTTTAAGGTAAGAAAACCTTTAACAAATATATATAGGTTAGATATATGTACGTTTTAATTAGTTTTATATTTGATTTCTCCTAATCAAAACATTTGTCTTAAATACAGCTCTATCTATTAATTGTGTTTGTTTATATGTATGTATAATGTTCGACTGAAATGCATGTTTTGATTGAAATATTTACTTCAATACATCTACGTTTTTCCTTTTCTTTTTTAATTTTTAAAATCTTATATAATTAAATGTGCCTCAATGAACTAATTTATACCTCTAATATGTTCTATTAACGAAACTTTTCTTAAATATGCCCATATTAAAATATTTTTCTCTTCTTGCAAGCATCTAGATAGATGTTAGATTTCTTGTAGCTCATTAAACTATTATTTCTCATGTATACCCCTAAGTAATTCCTTCACCAATTTTTTTATACCTTAAGAGCATGTTTACCAAACTATAAAGAAATGTAATGAAAAAGGTAATAAGATTGAAAAGTTAAATAAAATAATAAGATTAAAAGTCATTGATTCTTTTTTAAGTGTTTACTTAACTATTAGGTGGTGTAATGAGAAACAATTTCATTCTTTTTCTAGTATTTATTAAAATTAGGAATATCAATATTATCAATGTATTTACTAAAAAATCATTTTACACAATTAAATAATCATTGACTATATAGTAATTCATTAAGAATAAATAAGTCATTTAAACATTCATTCTCTTTGACAACGAATCAATACCAAGAGATGTAAGAATTGACATTTTATTTCCTCATTCTTTATATTGTGTGAGGCCTACTAAATATCGATTACCCATTTTATAAGTAAACACATTATTAAAAGGGAATGAGAATTACTCTTTATTTTTCATTTTCCTTTAAAGATGCCCTAAATATTTTCCTTTTTAACTTATAATTATATAGAAGAGCCAATCTATTCTACTTCAAAGTGCCTTGAAGACTTGGGCCCGTTCACTTCGCTGATTTGAGTTTATAATTCGAGTTGAGATGTGATTTTGTGTGAGAGCTTTTTACTGTAGCAAAAAAGTTAGATGTGACTGTTTCTGGGAGCTTTTTACTGTAGCGAAACTCGAATTCTAAACTCGAATTGGTAAAATAAACGAGGCCAAAATGAGTTCTTTCCAATGAAAAATATAAAAAAAATTATTTTTAAAATAAACTCAAAACACTTAAATTGGTGTATAAATAAACTCTTCATTATGCAATAAATAATATATCGTTCAGGTACTCGCACACGATAACATGTGCTGTGGGACGTACATTCCCAAACTAGTAATTTATGTATCAAATTTGTTCTTTGTAACATATTCTTCACACTAAGGGACGTTTGGTTCATAGATTCAGAATTATTCTCGTTTTACTTGTGTTTTTTGTAAAAAAAAAAAAAAAATATTGTAGCGAATCATGAACCATGATTCAAATCATAACACAAATCCCCTTTCCAAACGTTCCCTAAGAATTTTTCCACAACGTCTCGTGCACAATAGAGAGCAATATTGCCAATCAATCTCTCGCACATAGGCAAATTGAAAGGAAAAAAAAAATCAAAATTCGGTTTGTACTGTCTCTTGGATTTTTTTTTTTTCAAAAGTTTCTAATTGCTATATGTTAGAACCGGTTATGTGCTTTTACCGTGTTTACTTATAAAATGATTAAGGATTAACAAAGCAAAACACAAAAGCAGAGTAAATGCTACACAATGATTAAACGTAGTTCAGTCAAACCGACTTACATCAACGGGGCCACGCCCAGGCCTTAAGCAATCCACTAATAAGTAAAAAGTTACAGACACCAATCGGACTTAACCAACTCAAGACTCCCTCTTGACTATCGACGCCGCTGTGTCTAACACCCTAAGTGGCTAGCTTGGCGAGCACCACTCGTCTTCAAACGCCTTCTCCCGAAAGCTTACAAAATTATCTCTCAAAGATCAAAATCAATGAACGCTATCTCTCTTCAAATTGTGCACACTGTACTTTATCAGAATTGCAGTGCTTAATGTGATTCCTCGTGCAGCAACCTTTTATAAACTGATCTAATTCAAAATCTGAATCTGTCTCAGAATCTGTAGTTACAGATAAGACAATTATCAGTTTAAAATTTAAAACACGTAATCTGCTTCGCATATTCCAATTTCAATTTCCTTGACCCAAATTCTCAGCACTCCAATCTCTTTAAATGATCTCTTGACACAATCTGTAACAGATCTTTGTTTCATTTACAAATCCTGTTTTAAATAAAAAAACCATCACAATCTTGATCTCTTTCACAAAATCCTCAGAGCCTTATCTTAATGAAACTGTTTTCTTCTTTTAGAACGAACCCAACGAATTCGAAAGCCTAACTCCAGATTTTATCAAAACGCACAGCATTGCTTAAGAGACCAAATGACTCAAACAAAAGCTGTACGACATTTCTTGACACTTTCAAAATAATCAGTCCAAGAATGAAGCCCAACTAAGCCAATCAAAGCCCAAAACATAAAAAGCGAGTCAAAATGACCCACACGACTCAACAATCTCCCCCTTTGGCTTAGTTTGGCAAAGTTATACAACTCTATCTAAGAGTACTCAAAGCAAACAAAGTGTTAAAGAAAATTACTAACTAATTGACCACGAAGCACATTACTATATTTCATGTTTCTTAAAGTCTAAATTAAAGTAAAATACAACAACAAAATCATATTCTACATGTGATACATTAAAAATAGAATTCTATAAGGATAGAAAAGGCCTAAAAATATCAAATAAACTTAATATTTCATATTGTTAATATATATATACATATATATATATATATATATATGAAAGTCCAGCTTAGACTATTTATAAAATTTTTCAAACTCGAATCATACAGTTTTAGGACGTGTTTGTTTTAAGGATTTTGCATTATTCAAATTATAATTCTTAGTTCTGTTGCAGTATTTTTTTCACAAAAATTTAAATTTAAAGAGTCAAAATAAAATTACTGATTTAAATTCATGAACCAAACAGACCTTTTATTATCCAGATTTAGACCGCCAACAAACGGTTATAATGTGGGACTCTACCGGCGGTTTCGACCAAACCGTGCCCAGTTCTACTTTAATCTGACTCACTAAAAACATCAGGGCTATTTTCAGAACTAATAAAAACATAGAATAGAATTTTGAATTTTAATAAACCATGCGGGGGGTTCGCCATACAACGCAGAGAGAGAGAGAGAGAGAGAGAGAGAGAGAGAGAGAGAGAGAGAGAGAGAGAGAGAGAGAGAGAGAGAGGGGGGCAAATTATAGAGAGTCCAACCTATTATGCTCGCACGCACAGAGCAGCAGCAGCAAGAGAAAGACGGACCTCCAACCAATAATCACTCTCTCTCTCTCCTCTCTTTCTCTCTCTAACTCCGAAAACGTCGTCTCCAATATTCTCTCTCTAACATTCTCTATTACATTCTCACAGTATCCACGTGCCATCCTAACTGTACGGACTCTCCTTCTCCCTTCCTCCCTCCCCTTCTTCTCTCTCTCTCTAGAATTGTTTCTCTCTCTATCTCTGCGACGCCATGGTCATTCGATTCCGTTCTTGATCAATTACAGGCAAAGAGACCGTAGGTTGCTTCCTCATGTTTCACGGAATAAAAGCAAGCTGAAATTAAGATTTCGTCGTTCTTTCTTCCATGCAAAGCGATGTATAGATAATTAAGACCGCATTGTTCTTCATTAGGTTTCCCTTTTCTTGGATTTTTTTTCCTTTTTAATATCGCTACATTAGATTTTCTTTCCTGGTTCTTGTTGGAGATTCTCAATTAATTTGCATGTCTGTTTGTTTATCGGGAAAAGCCGTGGGAAAATAAGGCTCTTTGATTTTCTTTAAACGTCTTCTAGTCATTTCCAGGCTAGGAAGATTTCCATTACAACATTCTCTCCGAAACATTTAGTTTCTTCTTTCCATGCAAATACAAATATATTCTTTATTTTCCCCCTTTTCTACGATCAGATTCTTTTAAGTTCTTGAAAAATTAATTATCCTCCACGGATTTTTCACTCGGAATCTTGATTAATTCTTTATATGCATTGCATTTTCTTTAACTGCCTGTTTGGCTAGCTGGAAAAACCGTGGGAAAATCAATCAAGGTTTACGAATTACATCTTCTTGAAACCTAATTAAATGCACGAAATTTCTCGTTTCAGGTTGTGCAAATAGATAATTAGAGTGATCGAGTGGAACAAGAAGATCAAGAAGCCTCGAGGCTACAGAGAGAGAGAGAGAGAGCGATTTGATCAATCCGTCGGTCAATGTCGAACTCGAACCACGAGTCCGGCCCACAGGGGCTGACGAGGAGGCCGTCGCGGAGCGCCGCCGCGACGACGTTCTCGACGGAGGTGTTCGACAACGAGGTGGTCCCTGCATCGCTCGCCGCCTCCATCGCCCCAATCCTCCGTGTCGCCAAAGAGATCGAGAACGAGCGGGCTCGCGTCGCCTATCTCTGTAAGCTCAATTCCCCCTAAACAAAATTCGATCTTCCTCATTATTAATTTGTGATCAGTTCTTTATCGTTTACGAAATGATTTCTAGATTTTTTTTTCCTAAAACTGTAATAATTAGGTCGAGTGTATGCGTTTGAGAAGGCGCACAGGTTGGATCAAAGCTCCACTGGGCGTGGTGTGAGGCAGTTCAAGACGTCTCTGCTTCAAAGATTGGAGAGGGTAAGTGGTTTTTGATATTTGAATTGCTTCTTCTTCTTTCATGGATTATTAACATTAATGGACCCTTAAGTTTAGGGTCATTGTCACTCCTCTAAATTTTAAAAACTCTCGCTTTGTTTTTTAAACTTTAAATTATTCTCACCTGACTCATTTTATTATAATTTATATTAAAACATATAAAAAAGTGTAATCATAGAGTTTTTATCTGTCTATTTTTAATAAAAATTTAAATAAAAAAATATGTGATTACAGTACTCTCTTTCTTCTATTTATTTTTAATATAAATTATAATTAAAAGATTAGTGAGAATCATTTCGATTGAAGGATTAGTAAGAATAATTTTAAGTTCAAAAGACAAAGTGAGAATTTTTAAAATTTAAAAAATAAGTGAGAATGACACTAAAATTTAAAAGTAGAAGTAAAATTAATCATTCTTTGTTGAATTTTGAGTGAGCAAAGGTGGCGAAGGATGAGCCATGATCTTATGTGCGTTCACGTTAAGCGTGGGAAAACCTGAAATGTTATTGGTCCTAATTGTTTTTCTCGTTGAGAAAACATGTTCCATGGATTGACTTTTGCTTATTTATTTTTCTAATAATGTGTTGACCTTTTTTCTTTGGCTTGAATGTATTGACTTTCGTTTGTTGTCTCCTATGGTTTTGTTGGTTGGAGTCTAGAATTATCAGTGGCAGAGTATGAAAAAAGTGTAACCTTATTAATAGGTCTTTTTCAATGTAAAAAATTTAAAGAAGTCGCAAAACATTTTTTTTTTTAATTTAAGGAAATGGAATATTTAAAAGTTTAACACTGTACCCCTATTACACTGTTTTTTTTTTTTTCAAAGGACTGCACCCCCATTGCTAGGTGTATTTTTCATAACTTTTGCAGAATTCAAGTAAATGGAAGCACTTTTTTTAATAGATAATTTATGGAAGTGGAAGAACTAATTAGTTAGTCGTTTAAAATATTTTTTTTATCATATTTTTAATTAAGCCGACTGTTGATACATTGTATTCAAATTTTTACTTTAAGGTATAAAAAAAAATCCTATTGATAGGGTCCTGATTTGAACTATCACAGTTTATTTTACTGATGAAGAAGTATAACATTTTTTTTTTTTTTGTTTATTTCATCAACATGAATTGTACTTTCATTAAGTACTACTTAAATAATTATTTACCTATAAATAGGTATACACAACTAGCCTATATTACATCGATAACAATTACTTTATAATTATTTACCTACATACAACTAGCCTCAATTACATTGATAACTATTAATTCATGATTATTTACCTATAATCATTCTCCATTAGTATTGAATATTTCCTTCAACTTTCGTTCAACCAAACTAAATAATAAAACTTTTACAAAATCTAATAAATTTTAATTATAATTAATTTAGTAAAGCTTTATGTGTATTGTGAAAAAACTTGTAATATATATACATATATATATATATTTTTTTTTCTAGAAAGGAAAACTCAAGTATTTTGTGTAAGGATTAGTTGGACCCATTTTTTTTCAACCTGAATGTTTTCCCACAATTTTCGTTTAGCAAAAAACTGGCTCATGCTTCCCCCAAAATTAAAAAAGAAAGAAAGAAAGAAAAAACAGCTCATGCCATGAGGAAGGCATATTTCGGTGGTTTTCAAATTTATGTTCAATATCTTGCAAAGATGATGTTAGGTAATAAGTATTATTATGTTCTTTTACCCTTTTGTTCTGTTGGTCGAATTTTCTTCATCTGAACTTACTGAGAATTCCATGGAGCACTTTGTTGCAACCAAGTATAGTGTAGCGTGTACGTCTATGGATATTATTGTAAAATTGCGGACAGCTGACATCGAAATTCTCGAATTCAGGACAATTTGTCTAGTCTCGCTTCTCGGGTTAAGAAGACAGATGCAAGGGAAATCGAGAGCTTCTATCAGCAATACTATGAACATTACGTTAGAGCTCTTGACCAGGGAGAACAGGCAGACAGGTCATTTACATTGCTATTAGTCTTCTTATTTATTCACTTTTTATATGAGGTTTTCGCGTTTTTCTGCTTTTTGGAAAAAATGAACGTTCACACTACCTTCTGTTACAAGTAATAAATAATATATTATAACTTTGAGTCCTCAAACAGAGCCCAACTCGCTAAGGCTTACCAGATAGCTGGAGTGCTTTTCGAAGTGCTTTGTGCCGTCAACAAGAGTGAGAAGGTTGAAGAAGTTGCTCCTGAGGTTAGTCCAACTCCTCCCGCTCATTATTGTATTTTAGTTCCTTTTTTTCCCTGCATATGTAGAATCGGCTTTTGTGTAATCCATGAAATTCACTGTGACAGATTATAGCGGCTGCAAGAGATGTCCAAGAAAAGACGGAAATTTATACACCGTATAACATTCTTCCTCTGGATGCCGCTGGGGCTTCGCAATCAGTTATGCAGCTTGAAGAGGTACTCTCCTATTTCTTAATCTACTCAGAAACGTGTTTCTTGTTGCTTACCTTTCCTTGATTCCTGCCTTTACCAGGTCAAGGCTTCTGTGGCTGCCTTGCGGAACACAGGTGGCTTGAATTGGCCCAGTTCATTCGAACAGCACAGGCAGAAAGCTGGAGACCTAGACCTCCTTGATTGGCTAAGAGCCATGTTCGGTTTTCAGGCATGTGTATAATTTGATGATATGCTAATGGCTTATAGATTAGTCATTTATAGATATCTTTTAAGGATTGTTTATTGAGTTCGCTTCTCTTGATTTCTTTAGAGAGACAATGTCAGGAACCAGAGGGAGCATCTGATTTTGCTGCTTGCAAATAATCATATAAGGCTCCATCCCAAGGCTGAACCACTTAATAAGGCATGCATGAATCTTCCAATTTCTATTTTTCAGTGTAATAGAATTCAGTATCCTTAGCATCATCTCATCCGTTGACCACAATGTCAAATGACTTAAAGTTACTTTTTAGAAGTTTTCGGTTAAATTGCAAAAATCGCTTATATTAGCATCCATGCATTCATTCTTCTGGCATAACTTTTTGGATTATTAAGGTCTTGGGTTTTGAGCACTAATCTTGGAGGAAATTCCCATGATACTTCCAACTGTTGGGCTGTGGAGCTTATTTCTTTCTTTATGCAGCTTGATGATCGAGCTGTTGATATAGTTATGACCAAACTCTTTAAGAACTATAAGATTTGGTGCAAATTTTTGGGACGAAAACATAGTTTAAGGTAAGATATAACAGTATATATCTGTGTTGACTTTGTAGTTTATCATTGGAAATCCTATTTGATTTTTGTAGTTTTTACTCTGGATCTTATGCTCGACCTTCTTCTTGTATCTGTATAGGCTCCCTCAAGGACAGCAAGAGATACAACAGAGGAAAATTCTGTACATGGGTTTGTATCTTCTCATATGGGGTGAAGCAGCAAACGTTCGGTTCATGCCAGAATGTTTATGCTATATTTTCCACAATGTGAGTTGCATTTGTAGGCCTTTCTTTTTCGTTTTATATAAAAGTTCTTTATTGGAATTATATTTTGTCACCATATCAGTAAGCAATTCATATATGTATGTTTAGATGGCGTATGAACTCCATGGTCTATTGGCTGGAAATGTCAGCATAGTTACTGGTGAAAATATTAAGCCTTCATATGGTGGGGATGATGAGGCCTTTCTTCGTAAAGTTGTAACACCCATTTTCCGTGTTATTGAAAAGGTATGTTATATAACCCAAACATGGACAGTGACCTAGTTTCTAAGCTCATACAAGTTTTATGTGTGGTGATGTCTTTTCATATGATATTCCAGGAGGCACAAAAAAGCAAAAATGGGAAAGCTCCTCTCTCTGCTTGGTGCAATTATGATGACCTGAACGAGTATTTCTGGTCTGGTGGCAGTCATATTAATCTCAGGAAAAATCGTGTTAATTTGACCTTCAAGGGGCTATCTTTGGTTGACTCTTCTATTTGATTATATGTTTTCAGGTCATCTGATTGCTTCTCTCTTGGCTGGCCAATGCGTGATGATGGTACTTTTTTCAAATCAACTCGTGATTTGAAACAGGTACTCTTACCTTCTAAGCAGTTATCCACTTTTCTCAGTTCCATTTATTTGTTACTTCCTCATACAATATCAATATCAGGGAAGAAAGGGTTCTCAAACAAAATCTGGAAGCACAGGGAAATCGTATTTTGTTGAGAGTCGGACCTTCTGGCACATTTTTAGAAGTTTTGATCGACTATGGACATTTTATATACTTGTTCTACAGGTATGAAACTGCAAATTAGCAACGGAGTGGTAATATTACTGGCCTTTTATTTCCCATGTTCTTGGGTGCTCATATCAGTAGTCTATTATTTGAGTTGGCGTTTTTACAGGCGATGATCATTATTGCTTGGAAAGGGATTTCACCAATTGACATTTTTCAAAAGGATGTCCTGTACCACTTATCTAGTATATTCATCACAGCAGCTTTTCTTCGCTTACTTCAAAGTATGATGTTTTACTTAAAACCTGAATATATCTTGTTAGTTGATTTTTTTTTATTAGTTTTATGTTCTCCTAGTAGTGCAAAAAGAATATAACTTCTTTCTCGATGTTTTATTTGTGGAAGTTCTTTGGTTTATCTCGTTTGAAATTCTTATTTTAAAACAAGATAATGCCTGTATGAGTCAATTGAATGAAAGAAAGTTGTATAACAGTATAAAACGAGCAATGGAAATAGAAGAAAATGAAAAATTAAATCCATCTCATATGATGATTGTTGAATGAAAAAATGTTTTAAGGTGTAATTCTTTTGACTGGCTAGTAGTTACGGGCATGGTTTATCGGCTACTTTTATTCCCGGCAACATGCTTTATAAAAGGTTTTATATTTGAAAATTTTTCTTTTCTTTTCACTTTCCACTGTACCTTAAGTTGAGTGTTTACTTCAGACTAAACAGAACGTAAGAGAATGAAAAAAAAAAATGCCTTAAACCTGAAAAGAATTGATCTTATATTATAAGTTTTTCCCAAAACAAAAGAGGGGCAGGGGAGATGATGATTCTTTTGCACTCGCTGTTTTTGTCGCTAGCATTGCGAGATGTATATTGCTGTTATTGTGTGGTTTTTATTAATTTCTTTTTGTTTTCCCTTTTCATTTTAGGTATTTTGGACCTGTTTTTGAATTTTCCGGGATATCATAGGTGGAAGTTTACTGATGCACTGAGAAACATTCTCAAGATAATTGTTAGTCTTGCGTGGGTTGTAATTCTTCCGATGTTTTATGTGCATTCCTTCAAGGGGGCCGCCCCTGCTCAAATTAGAGATATGCTATCATTTCTTAAACAAATTAATGGTGTTCCCCCATTGTACATCTTAGCTGTCGCGGTGTATTTGCTTCCAAATTTGCTAGTAGCAGCTTTATTCATCCTTCCAATGCTCCGGCGTTGGATTGAAAATTCAGATTGGCATATTATTCGGTTCCTCTTGTGGTGGTCACAGGTACTTGCATTGCTTTCCTCTTGATCCTCACCATTTTGCCTTTTTGTTTCATTTTCCTTTCTCTCATATTTCTTTCTATTGGTTAAGTCTCTTGCTGTATCATAAACAGAGCTAACCAAAAATAATTGCATAAGACCAGAAGTTCAAATTAGATGGCTTGCATAAAGTCAAGTACAATAAACTATTTCTAATATTACACCAAGGAATTTGGAAATCGAATTAGTCGATTCTTTTAGGCTTTGGATTTATTCCATTCAGCTCAAGTTATCATCAGAGGAACTACTTACTGATGTAACTACTAGATGCTTAAGATTAGCCTTTCATTGTTTTTGTTTTAGGTTAAGACTTCAGTTAATCATGAACGTCCTTGGATAATACTTTTTTATATTTAATGGAATCTCGTTTTTGTTTTTTATGCCGGAACCTGTAACAAATGGTTAGATATTGATTTTTAAATGAATTTATTTCATCTATCTGCAGCCAAGAATATATATAGGAAGAGGCATGCACGAAAGCCAATTTGCACTTATAAAGTGAGTGCAAAAAGAACTATTTATTGCAAATTTTACTTTTGATTGAAGTCTCTGCTATTGTTCTGATTTGTTTTGTACTCTCAGATATACACTTTTCTGGGTGATACTTTTGGGTTCCAAGTTTGCATTCAGCTTTTTTTTCCAGGTTTCATACTCTTCATTTCAGTGATTGTAATTTGTTGTTCTTGAAAATTTATGGTTGTTAAGTTAGTTTTTATTTAACTTTTCGTTTTTCCCTTTCCTAGATAAAACCTCTGGTGAAGCCAACAAAAGACATAATGAGCATTCATAGAGTTAATTATGAATGGCATGAATTTTTCCCTGAAGGTACTAGTTCTTGCTTTTCTTCCGATTTTTAAATTTTAGTTTCGTGCTAAATATATCTCTCGTCACTGAATAGCTCGAAACAACTACGGAGCGGTCTTGTCACTCTGGGCTCCAGTTATCATGGTCTGTTTCTTAATCTTTCATCATGATAGTTCATGTATTTCTTATTTCTTGAAGAATGAAGCTTCTTGCAGTCTTCAGGGAAACATCTCATGACCACCCATTTCCTATGCATGCAGGTTTATTTCATGGACACTCAAATATGGTATGCAATATATTCAACTTTGATGGGTGGCATTATTGGGGCCTTTGATCGTCTAGGAGAGGTACCTTTTTTTTTCTTTTTTTTTTTTTTTTTGCTTTAATTCTTTTCTGCATCGTTCAAGGCATGTACCACACTTCTTGCTTAGAGAGCATGGATAAGTGACTGAGAATTAAATTAGTTAAGCTTCTTGCAGTCATAATTGTGGATTAAACTTGTGGCTTGTGATACCAAACTTAAGTTTATTTTATAGTATGAACAGTTGGATTGTTTCCACCTCAGTCATTTTGAGCTGTACAAGAGCATTAGAGCAAGAAGCTGAATCATATCTTGCTTCTAGTAAACACAACTCCTGATGTTGAAATGCATCTTGTTTATACAAATTGAAATTTGAATTTTAAAGTTTTGGTCACTACATACTTCATTTTGGACATCTTCGCGACCTGGAAATTATTTTATATTGTCTTCACTAAGTAGTTGCCTCCTGGCTTTGTGCCATACTGCACCTACGATGATTTCTACTAACTCCTTTGATAAACTTTGTTGTTGATCAGCCCGTGCTTCTCTGTTACAGATTCGAACTCTAGGGATGCTAAGGTCAAGGTTCCAGTGCTTGCCTGGTGCCTTCAACACACATCTGGTGCCCTCTGATAAGTCCCAGAAAAGGGGGTTCTCTTTCTCCAAGCGTTTTGCAGAGGTTATTTCATCTTAGTTTGTGATTATCTAATCACGTTAGCAATTAGGTAGATAGGTATGGTAGTTATATTTGCATTTAAACCTGCAGATTACAGCGAGCAGGAGAAGTGAAGCTGCGAAATTTGCTCAACTTTGGAATGAAGTGATTTGTAGCTTCCGGGAGGAAGATCTAATAAGTGACAGGAAAGGCGCTGAATCAACATTTTTATTTTTTATTTTTTTGGTTTAATTTCTTTTGAACAAATTTTTTTTTTTTAAATAAATGAATAAACTGGGGTTCTTTTTATGCAGGGAGACAGATTTGTTGTTAGTTCCTTATTCCTCTGATCCTGGCCTAAAGATAATTCAGTGGCCACCGTTTTTGCTTGCTAGCAAGGTGAGTACTATTACTTTTGGAGACCTTGCATCTCTTACTTGGCTTTGTTTTGACCTTTTCCTACCCCTAACAGATCCCAATAGCATTGGATATGGCGGCTCAATTTAGATCCAGGGACTCTGATCTCTGGAAGCGTATATGTGCAGATGAATACATGAAGTGTGCTGTAATTGAATGCTATGAATCTTTCAAGCAAATCCTGAGTACTCTTGTGGTTGGAGAAAATGAGAAAAGGTTAGCATCAATAATAGATTCTTTATAAAGTTTTAAGTATGACTTTTTATTTTTTGTTCTTTTCGTCTATCATAGTTTCTAAAACGAAGGAATTGCACTAAAGATGATGCGTGTAATTTTGACCCTAGAAATTTAAACCAATAATGTATTATACTCTATGGCTTCTATATATTCTTTGGCTCCGGCTCCCATATTTGTTTGTCCTCATCGAAAGTGTAAAACAAAATAAAAAAATATGATACGTTCTTTCCTTGTTAAGCAAGCAAAACACTCATGTAATTTTACTCTTAGGTTCTTGGCGTGGAATTGTTGATTCTAGTCTTTTTCACTTTTGGTTAGATGTTTCAAGTTCTTCGTGTCTGACTTGATTTACACCAAGTCATGGTGCTTGAACCCAGTAACATAACTTTTTATCTTCCATAATGCAATGTTTAAATCTGGGAAAAAAAATTAATCATTTTCTCTGAGTTGTCAGGGATCATCACAACTTTTTCTGACTTGTATTGTTGTGATAAATTCTAACTCAGATTTATGGTTTAACAGGATAATTGGCATCATTATTAAAGAAGTTGAAAGTAACATTTCAAAAAATATGCTTCTTGCAAATTTCAGAATGGGTCATTTACCCACTCTTTGCAAGAAATTTGTGGAGCTTGTGGAGATCTTGGTGAGTTCTAGGAGAGATCAGATTTGTAATTATATCTGCAGTCTGTACTTCTCTTGAAAACTCAAAAGAAAAGATCAATTACTACTTCCTTTCTGTTGCAGAAAGATGGCGATCCATCCAAGAAAGATACTGTGGTATTGTTGTTGCAAGATATGTTGGAAGTTGTCACCCGTGATATGATGGTTAATGAGATAAGGTTGGTAAAGTCTGTTTCATAATTTTCATTCTATCTGGACTGGAATATTTATAGAGGGACAATTTGTGATGGTTCACATGTATATGTTAACACTTCTTGCAATGCTCTCATGTTATACTTTTTAGGGAATTGGTTGAAGTTGGTCATAGTAGCAAGGATTCTGGACGACAACTTTTCGCCGGAACTGATACAAGACCCGCTATAGCATTCCCTCCTCTAGTTACAGCTCAATGGGAAGAACAGGTAAAAGTATTTGCAACGACTTAAAGAACCATGGGAAAAATATTGTACAATATATTATAACTCTTTAGCTAAGACACATGTATATTGCATTCTGTTATTTCAGATAAGACGCCTATACCTCCTGCTGACAGTGAAGGAATCTGCCATTGATGTACCAACAAACCTTGAAGCACGTAGAAGAATTTCATTTTTTACAAACTCCTTGTTTATGGATATGCCGCGTGCCCCAAAAGTCCGGAAAATGCTTTCATTCAGGTTTGATAGAACGTTAATTTATACACATGGAACATATATAAATAAATTCCATATATTGGTTCTTCCTGAGAAAATCACTCAACTCAATTATAAGCTAGCAAGGTCTTTTAAGGCATTTTAGCATCAAATATACGATTTTAGACAGGTATTTCAGAACCAAGAATAATGACTCATAAGCTTCTATGGTCCTCATTTCATATTGTTTCTAATCTCGTTTCAATTTAAACCATACATTTTATCCTTTTTTTTTTCAATTTTTTTTTGGGGTTCATATATATGCATATAAATTTGAAAGTAGGAATCTATTTGAAGTTTTCTCATCACTTTACAACAATAATTAGTCTGTAACAGGCCATATGCTGTTAGCAGGCCAAACTTATGGGACTTAAAATTTTCTTAATGATGCTTCAATTGTTATAATCTTATTTTTCTCGCATTGGCAGTGTCATGACTCCGTACTATAGTGAGGAGACAGTCTACTCTAAAACTGACCTTGAGATGGAAAACGAAGATGGCGTATCAGTCCTATATTACCTGCAGAAGATTTTTCCAGGCGAGTGATTTTCTATCTCCTAATTTCTTTATAATCATCATCTATTTGATTTCAAGGACCACATTTTGCAGTCAAATATTGACATTTCGCAACACGCAGATGAGTGGAACAACTTCATGGAGCGACTTAATTGTAAGAAGGATAGTGAGATATGGGAAAATGATGAGAATATTTTACAGCTTCGTCACTGGGTCTCCCTAAGAGGACAGACACTCTGCAGAACTGGTATTAAATGCTTTATTCTCTCTAGACTCATCTTTGAATATCAGTGTGTTGTACTAACTAATTTTGGCATTACAGTCAGAGGAATGATGTATTATAGACGGGCTCTGAAGCTTCAAGCTTTTCTTGACATGGCTAATGAAAATGGTAAGACCAAGTACTTCAAGAATCAAGGTCTTGCACAGCATGCAAATTCTCGTGCCTTCATACATTACTCATTGTGTTTCATGCACTTTTTGGTACTTAACTTCGTTCACAAGAATGGAACTTCATTCCTTCTCAAGAATGGATGTTTTTCTTCTCTGACAATAGACAGCCCAGTATAGTGAAGTAGTAGCCTTTGCAGACTTGCAGTTGATAATGCTGGCAATTTTTTAACTTTAAACAGAGATACTTGCTGGGTACAAAGCCATAACAGTTCAATCAGAAGAAGATAAGAAACTCCAGCGATCGCTTTATGCCCAACTAGAAGCTGTTGCTGACATGAAATTCACGTATGTTGCTACCTGTCAAAACTATGGCAATCAGAAGCGAAGTGGAGACCGCCGTGCAACTGATATCCTTAATCTGATGGTCAAGTACGTTCCTTATCTGATAAAGCCAATAGCTTTTCTGAAATTTGATTTCTGTAAAGATGCTATTGCTCAGTTCATTTTCTCCAAGAAGATAAGACCTCTTTGCTGTTTGTATAGTAATCCTTCTCTTCGAGTAGCATATATGGATGAAGTTGAAGAGACGGAAAACGGAAAAGTACAGAAGGTTTACTACTCAGTATTAGTCAAAGCTGTTGATAATCTTGATCAGGTACATATTGAGAAGAATCCAGTTGGTTTGCTTTACTCTGGCTAAAAAAAAGCACTGACTTTTGGTGCTTGTCTAAAGGAAATCTATCGCATAAAACTACCGGGTGCAGCCAAGATCGGAGAAGGAAAGCCAGAAAATCAAAACCATGCTATAATCTTTACTAGAGGAGAAGCCCTTCAGACGATTGACATGAACCAGGTTACTGTTGGAACAAAGTTATGGTTACTATTTTCTGTTTTAAGGCCAATTTTGAGGCTTACTTTCTCCTATATATAATGTAGGACAACTACTTGGAAGAAGCTTTCAAAATGCGCAACCTTTTGGAAGAATTCAATGAAGATCATGGAGTGCGTTCACCTACAATTTTAGGTGTTCGTGAGCATATATTTACTGGAAGGTAGGAATACTTTTTCTTTCCTCTCTAGAAGTTTCTTTCTTTTCCTCTTTACAATTGTAGGTTTTCACCTACTTTTGATTACTTTGATTACTCAACTTTATGTTACATGACATTTGCATCACAGTGTTTCTTCTCTGGCTTGGTTTATGTCAAATCAAGAAACGAGCTTCGTGACCATAGGTCAAAGAGTTCTAGCAAAGCCTTTGAAGTAAGCTCTCTTAATTGCATTTATAGCGTTTAATCCTATTACCCCCAAAGCAGTTTGTTGTTTTCTTTCTTTTTCTTTTTTTTTCACAATGTAATTCTTTTTTAATTAAAAAGACAGACTCATTTAAGTAACCAGAGTTAAGATGAATCATTTTAACAAATGAATAGCCATATATTTTGTAAACGTGTTTCTTTATGGAATTGGCAACCCAATTGGCAAGTTATTTGTTACGTTATTCAAGATGCTATTCTTTGGTTTTCATGCTTAGTGAACTTGTAAACCTCTCTTTCCCAAAATGGTAACCCTCTCTTCCCCTTCTTAATCCAAGTGTTTCTCCCTTCTTTCTCTTTTTATTCTGTTAAATGGCCGCCGTTTTTTACAGAACATAAACTACAATCGTTTAACCGGAATCCGTAGTGTTATTTTAGTAGTTTTCTATTAAATTGAAAAGCATTTCTAAAATCCTGGAAATCCACTATTATTTCCTATTTTTTACCTTATACTTGCGTTGGTTGATTTCAGGGTTCGGTTCCACTATGGTCATCCAGACGTATTTGACAGAATTTTTCACATTACCCGTGGTGGCATCAGCAAGGCATCTCGTGGCATCAATTTGAGCGAGGACATTTTTGCTGGTAGCACTCTTGATAACAACAACAACAGTATTTGATGGAACTTGATTTCAAAGATTGAAGTTTTTCTTTTTTTTAACGTTTAGGGACTATAACTAGCTATTATAAAGTATAGGGATCAAAGCAAGACTTTTACCCTAGATTAAGAAAAGCTCAAGAATTGATCCTAGTAATATTAGTTGTAAGAAATGAAGTGGTTTCTGTCAAGGTAATTTTGTTTACTTCTAAATATAACTTGTCTTTGCAGGTTTCAACTCAACATTGAGGCGAGGGAATGTTACTCACCACGAGTATATTCAAGTTGGAAAGGGTAGAGATGTTGGGCTCAACCAAATATCTCTCTTTGAAGCAAAGGTGGCTTGTGGTAATGGGGAGCAGACGCTAAGCAGAGATATCTACCGATTAGGGCACCGCTTCGACTTCTTCCGCATGTTGTCCTTTTATTTTACGACAGTGGGATTTTACATCAGCTCAATGGTAATTTTCACTTAAAACATAATAGAAGCTATAAAAAATTTAGGCAACTACATATTATTAAAATTGAAAAAATATATGTAGACAAACTGAGAGGTCATGCTAATATAATTTTGATTGACCATTTGTCCTCTGACCTCTCCACTTGAATGTAATATATATGATAGGGAGGGTTCAATTTCTGTCATGCTGTGTTGAGCATAAAGTTAGTGGAATACATTACAAGAAAAATCAAGTAGTTTTTGGCATTTGGATTAATATGAAATATCACTGTTGTATTTCCACGTCCTTCCCCACTGTGTTGAGCATAAAGTTAGTGGAATACATTACAAGAAAAATCAAGTAGTTTTTGGCATTTGGATTAATATGAAATATCACTGTTGTATTTCCGCGTCCTTCCCCACTTCCCTAACCAAGTACCAATCTTTTTTTTTTTTGGGTAAGGAATCAACTTACCAAGTACCAATAGGAACTATACTAGTGGTAGTCCAATGTGAAAACAGAAATATAAGATAGAAACTTCTTATTGAGAGTTTTGAAATGTATTATTGGCTATTTGCGTCTTCTATCTCCTTTTGCTAATTGGCATTGTTTTACTTCCTGCAGTTGGTTGTCCTTACAGTCTACGTTTACTTGTATGGGAAACTTTATCTTTCGTTGAGTGGGCTGGAGAAGGCAATAGTGAAATTTGCCAGGGCCAAAGGAGACAATGCTCTGAAGGCAGCTATGGCTTCTCAATCTGTGGTCCAATTAGGTCTTTTAATGGCCTTGCCCATGATCATGGAAATTGGACTGGAGAGAGGGTTCCGAACTGCGTTAGGTGACATGATAATTATGCAGCTGCAGCTAGCAGCCGTTTTCTTTACTTTCTCTCTCGGCACAAAGGTCCATTACTATGGACGAACTATCCTGCATGGCGGTGCAAAATACAGAGCCACCGGGCGTGGGTTTGTGGTCAAGCATGAGAAGTTTGCTGAGAACTACAGGATGTACTCAAGAAGCCACTTTGTGAAAGGGTTGGAGCTCATGATGTTGCTCACAGCTTATCAAATTTATGGATCAGCAGCAGCTAATTCCACGAGCTATGCTTTCCTTACCTTCTCGATGTGGTTCTTAGTCACCTCCTTTTTGTTTGCACCCTTCCTTTTTAACCCCATGGGATTTGAATGGCAAAAGATAGTAGAAGATTGGGATGACTGGACCAAGTGGATAAACAGCCGCGGTGGTATTGGTGTGCCGGCAAACAAGAGCTGGGAGTCCTGGTGGGATGAGGAACAAGAGCACCTGCAGCACACTGGCACTCTAGGACGGTTCTGGGAGATTGTTCTTTCTCTGCGCTTCTTTCTTTATCAGTATGGAATTGTATACCATTTAAATGTGGCCAGGAATGAAAAGAGCATCATGGTAAGTACATATGCGTCCTTCCAATTTCTTCTTTATTTCCAGATTTCTTTCATTTTCATCTGCGGTTCTTTGATGTAAAATCTTTTTCAAAATTCCAGAATCAGATTTCACTTCAGATTGTAATCAATCACCACAACTATTTGAAAACTAAATATGAAGTGGGATAGAAGTACTAAACACAGCAGTTCTTTTGCATGACTGGATATAAAAGGATTATGCTAGCACATTCTTCTATCATTTGAAAGAACCATTAGTGGGATTTGTTGGTGTTTCTTATATTACACATACAGCGAGCAATCAAGAAAGCCCTCATCTATTCTTTTTTTCCGCTATCTAAATCCAGGTTTATGGTCTCTCTTGGCTGGTCATTGTTGCCGTGATGATCATCTTAAAGGTCTGAACTGAAACTTCAAACGTTTATTCTAGACGAGAGTGAATTGACCATGATTTAATTTATTTTACTTACTGGTGAACCTCTGAATGCAGATTGTGTCCATGGGAAGAAAGAAGTTCAGTGCCGATTTCCAGCTGATGTTCAGACTTCTTAAACTGTTCCTATTCATTGGGTCCATAGTCACTCTCGGTATTCTCTTTACTGTTCTGAATCTTACAGTTGGAGACATTTTTGCCAGCTTACTGGCCTTTATGCCCACAGGATGGGCACTACTACAGGTACATCCCAAATGATATTACCTCAACTCTTTTCTCTTTTTCTTTTTGTTTAGTGAATATATATATACATATTTTTTTTTGTTTTCTTCTAGTTGAATTAAAAACATTTTGAATGTTGATAAACGAATTTTGTGATTTACCATCTGTTCTCACGGATTAAGAAACTCACATCTGAATTCGATGTTGTATGAGCAGATATCGCAATCGTGTAGGCCGTTAGTGAAGGGCCTCGGGTTCTGGGGATCTGTCAAAGCTCTAGGAAGAGGGTATGAATACGTGATGGGGCTGCTTCTCTTTGCACCAGTGTCTATACTGGCATGGTTCCCATTTGTGTCGGAGTTCCAGACCAGGCTGCTGTTCAACCAAGCTTTCAGCCGAGGGCTTCAGATCCAGCGCATTCTGGCGGGCGGCAAAAAGAACAAGTGAAAACAATAGCCCCCGGAATTCTTTTCCAGAGAATCAAAAAATTTCAGGTTGCAAAAGGAGACGCAAGCTGTTTTTAGAGGGATTTGATTTTGAAAAAGAGAGATGCGTCATACGAAAATTTTTTCTCCTTGTTTTGCTCTTTGCATTGTTGTTGTAGCTTACTCAACTGTTCATGTGTATTTGAGTTTCTCATAATGATCAAATTACGATCAACTAGCTAGTACATAAAAAAAAAATGTAAAGAAAAGGGTTATCTTTAAAAGAGGTAAAACGAAATAATATTGATAAAGCCAACTAGCATCTTGTTGCTTTGTCCACCTTTTATTTTTCCGTCTCTTTTTTCTTTTCTTTTTTTCCCGCCTACTGTATCCTTTCATTCCATGAATAAGAATTTTTTCTTGACTAAGACAGTAGGCTTAATTTTTTAAGAAAACAGTATCACCGTGATAGGTAAACAACAATAGCATCATATACATTTTCGAAAGACTAGGTCGTCAAAAAAAAAAAAAAAAAGATTTCTTTTCAGCTAACGACGAGGAAAAATTCTATATTCTTTAGTAAAATGTATGCCACGATGGGTATAAATATCTCGTGGGAAAATTGTTTTTGAAGCGCATTGTTTTATAAGGAAATTTTTATAGTGAGATCTCTTAAAAAAATTCACTGATAGAACATTTTATTTAATTGTTGGATTAAGTTTTCAACAATTATATTTATGCAAGTATGAATTAAAAATTATTCTTACAGATTTAACTGTTGAAAAAGTAATTTAACAATTAAAATAGAGTATCTCATCGATGAATTATTTTAAGATGTCTCATCAGAAAAAAAAACCGTTTTACAAGTATAAATATCTTTGGACGTGTATCAAAAACATAACTATGGAATATAAGCTACAGAAAAATTGCTTCAGTTAGGCAACACGATGAATATGCCAAGTTGCCAACAAAAGAGATTGCCGTGGCGTTGTGACATTTCTAATTGCGATACTTCAATTAGTTATTCTTAAATTTATGACAATAAATCAATCTCTAAATTATATTAATATTGTCTAAATTAGAGCAATTTTGTATGTATTAAGTACACTCTATACTATGTCACTACATCATATACCCTGTACTGGCGAGCCCTCTCTAACTGCCCTCCCGGCACCTCCTCGCCCCAAATCCCCCCTCCTTCGGTGCAACCCAACCCCCTCGGCAACTCCGCACCCCTGACGCCCCCTCCCCCCTCCCGACACCGGTCCAATGGTTCATCCCCCTAAGATTTTATCTTCTTTTTTTTTTCTTTAGGTTGATTTTCCAATCTTACCCTTGAAAATTAGATCATGCGGGTTGCAGTTGACCATTTGAACCTCAATGGCATTAAAATTAAATTCATGGAGATTGTTTTATTTTTTACTTTTAAAAATACAAATCAGGGACCAAAAAATATATATATAAATGGGAGTCTCTACGGTAGACCTCCTTAAAAAAGTATATATACAGAACATTCTATTTTGACTGTTAGATTAAGTTTTTAACAGTTAAATTTGTGTAAGTTCATATTAAAAATTTATAATACCCCGTATAGAATTATTTTCTCTACAGATTTGACTGTTAAAAAAGTATTCCAATAGTCAAAATAACTGGTGAGTTTTTTTTAAAAGGTCTCATCGTGTAAAAAGCCTATAAAAATTTAGGAACCTAAAGTGAAATTAATCCTTTCTTCTTTTTTTTTTTAGTTTTTAGTCATTAATCCTATAGCAAATTATACGGTGGAACCCCTCAAAAGTTTCCACCAGTGGAACACTCAATTTAAATTGTTAGATTAAATTTTTAACAGTTAAATTTGTACACGTCTGTATTAAAAATTTACTGTGTGTCACACAAATTTGCTCTCTCTATAAATCTGATCGTTGAAAAAGTAATCCAACAATCATAAACAAAAACTCCACTGGTGGAAATTTTTTTAGATTCCACCATAGAGACTGCCCAATCCTATAAATAACTTTTTTTTTAACTCTGATTCTATATATATAACTTATTCTTGCTTTGCCCTTTCCTATATATAACTTAGGATTATTATTGCTGGTGCTCTCTGAATTTTGAGGTTATTTTCAGTTTACTTTATAAACTTTAAATTTTTCACACTTAATCTTTTTTTTATAATTTATGTTAAAATAATACATAAAAAAAAGGGAGTTTAAGTATGGTTATGTGATCTTTTATCTGTTTATTTTTAACAAAAATTTAAACAGAAAAATTACGTGATTATATTATTCTTTTTTATATATATTTTTAACATAAATTATGAAATATGAGACCCCATTTATTTCACCAATTCAAATTTAAAATTTAAATTTTATTACAGTAAAAAAACTCTCAAAAATAACTATATCTAATTTTTTTTTATTATAATAAAAAATTCTAAAATAAAATTAATCTCAACTCGCTTTTAAACTTTTCATGACCTAAAGCGGTAATAATCCTATCACTTATTCTTGCTTTCCCCTGATAAATACGTTCCCCAAAAACAAGGGAAAAAAAAATCTCATTCTCTCCGGCTCGATCAACAGGTGAGAAACAAAAAACCGCACAGCCGCGCTCCTTGACGCCGACGCTCCGCCACCGCCGTCGCCGCTCCGTCCACTCTTTGTCTTCATACGGACGTCGAAATTGTACTTTTCCTCCACTCTTAATCATTTTTTACTCCTTTCTCTCTCCTACCCGCGTTTTCTCTTTTCTGTGATTTCAATTTTGTTTTTGGTTTTTGGTAGGGAATTTGCACTAATTGATTAAGTCTCGTTGTGTGAGATTAGCAGTCGCCTACATAAACCCAATTTCCGGGTAAGAATAATAACACAAGGAATCCCCTTCCTTTATTTTAGAGCTGCTAAGCTTTTTTTTAAAAAAATAATAATAATTTAGTCTCTTTTCTAATTTTTGCCTTGTTGTTTGTTTCTAGTGAGGAAAAATGGTTTCCGGTCTAATCAATCCCAATCCTGTGGTCTATGAGAAGAAAGAGCGCCGGGTTCGTGGTGCTTCAAGTAACGCCGATGAGTATGCCGTCGAACCAATTGACCAACAAGAAGTTTTTGATATCCCTTTTAATTTTGATGTTTGCCCTTGTTAATTTGTTATTTATGTAGTTTGAGGTTTTTTTTTTCTTATTATTATTATTATTATTATTATTATTATTATTATTATTATTGTTATTTTAGTTCTTGCTCATCTAGTAATGTGGTTACTTACAAAATCAGGAATGGTAGTTTGTGTAGAGCCCTCACAATCTAGGAAAGGGAATGCCAATTCTAGCACCCTATTGGTATTGTTTCCTGGCTAATGGGAATCAACGGAAAATTTACTTAGTACCTTTATCAAGCCAATGATTGTTTAATTGTGGATAGACATTTGAGTAATTCAATTAATAAGATTCATATTTCTAAGTTTAGTAAACACATCCTAATGGGTATGTTTACGCTAGAAAGAGAATCATTGATTCTCATTTTATTCATTTACTCTGTCCTACTTCATTACGTTTTCCATTACATTGCATTCTGGTTTGGTAAACATGAAATATGTTTGTTTTATTTTCTTTAACAATTCATAAATCATATTAGAGATATTAAAGATCCAGAGTACCCTTATTCTTTGGAAGAGCTGAAAGTTGTAGCAGAAGATGCAATTGAAGTGGACGACCAGCACAGTTATGTTAGGTACAGAAAATTTCGGCCATGATTTTATTTTTTATTCTCTTTTTTTTTTAGATGGGCTTAAACTATCTTGTCTAATCAATGTCAATTCTCTCAGGATCACCTTTACCCCCACCGTTGAACATTGTAGTATGGCAGCAATAATTGGTCTCTGCTTAAGAGTAAAACTCATAAGAAGCCTACCGTCTCGTTACAAGGTATTACTCTCTCATTAATTTTTTTGACAACATTCATTCTGTACCAAAGAATATACTGAACTTGACATGAAGTTTGATAGATTACCTTCATAATTTTGTGCTGTATGGCTCTTTGATGTGTAGAGGTTAGATATTTTGCTTTCCCTTTAATTGATGACCTATTTGAGTACTAGAGGAGGTATAGTAAACCACTGTGTATATAGTATTGGTTTTCCAATTAGACATTTCTATGACTAAATCAGACTTCAAGTTCTTCACTTTATATGGCTTCTAATATTTTTTATTTTGGGAACGGCAAGAAAGTAAAAGATTCTGTTGAATCATTGAATTGTTGATAACTTGATATTGTCTGCTTGTGGTTGTACTGTAAGGCCTTATGGACCTTTGATTTAGAGGGAACTGTAGGATATTGTGGGATATAGTGATTCCTGGCTTTTCTTTCACAATCCCAAGGAATAGAAGAATATTCCGCCCCGTTTGTTTCGTTAGTTCGAATTATAACTAAAGTTTTTACTTCAGTGTTTTTTCTCACAAAAATTCAAATTTAACTTTTTCTGCTATAGCGTTTTCTTTCACAAAAATTTAAATTCAACTTTTTCTGTTACAGTGTTTTCTCTCATATGTTATCACTTTTTAACTCAAGTTCTTAACTCGAACGAGTGAAACGAACGATGCCTTGTTTTACATTTTTCTTTCTTTTGCTCTAAATTCTATCTTTCTGGAGAATCCCCTTTGGCCTTCTCTCATTTTTGTACTCCTTTTGCTTTCCCCAAAAGCTTTATATGGCATGCGGTGCATTTAGTTGGTTGTAAAGACTAGGCTTCTGTTAGATAGATCGTCTTATATGACTGCAAAGTTTGTACTTTGTGGTCATTTTGGCAATGATGGTTATATGATTAATGCCAGTGTTTAAAATTACGCAATCGATTGAGGCGCGCCTCAGCAAGAGGCGTTCACAAATTGCAATGAGGCTTAAGCATCATGAGGAAGATAAGAGGCGTACGCCTCTGACAACTGAGGCGGGCCTTGAGGCTTAGCCTCAAGGTGTAATCTGCTTATGCCTTATGTATTTTTGTTTATATTCTGTTGAGCTAACGTAGATTAAAAGGCCCAAAGCCCAAATAAGAGAAATCAGCAAAAAATGAGCCCCAAAACTGGTTTTTTAAGGGCAAAACCACCACCACCACAACAACAACAAGTCTTAATTTCAACTTAATTGGAGTCGGCTATATGGATTTCACTTTTTCACACGGCTCTGTTCGAAATTAAACTTTCCTGAAGGCCTAGATCTAGAATGTTTTTCCTACCGACTTCGGTCAACGTAATTCTTGGTCTACTCCTCCCTCTCCTAGTATTAGGTATAAGAATGTCCTCCCAAGCATGAACTGGTGCTTTTAGCAGTCTACGTTGGACATGCCCGTACCACCTCAAGCGACCTTCGCGTACACCTTATCTTCTATTAGTGTTACACCTACTTTACTACGAATAACTTCATTCCGTATGCGATCCATTCTCGTATGATCACTCATCCATCTTAACATACGCATTTCTGCCACTCATCTTAGATATATGTTGTCTCTTAATGGCCAAACATTCACTATCATATAACATAGCTGGGCGGATTACAGTCCTATAGAACTTTTCTTTTAACTTAATAGGCATCTTGTCATCACATAAAACTCTCGTAGCATTCTTTCACTTAACCCACATTGCCTTAATCCTTTGTTGAATATCCTCTTCTATATCTCCTTCGTACTGCACTATAGAGCCAAGGTACTTAAACTTCCTAGAACCCCTAATCTCCACACCATCTAAAGAAATTTCATCACTCTGATTACTTGAGTTACTAAACCTACAATGCATGTATTCAGTTTTCATCCTACTTAACTTAAATCTCTTCGTCTTGAGAGTCTGTTTTCACAGTTCTAACTTACGATTAACTCATTCCCTATGTTCATCAACTAAAATTACATCATCAGCAAAAAGCATACACCAAGTAATTCTATCTTGGATTTCTCTTGTCAGCTAATCCATCACGATGGTGAAAAATAAGGACTAAGAGCAGATCCTTGATGAAGGCCGATCCGAATGGGGAACTCTACCGTGTAGTCTCCAACAGTTCTCACACTCGTGACCACCCTATCGTCCAGCAGTTCTCACACTCGTGATCACCCCATTGTACATGTCCTAAATTATCTTAATATACCTCACATGCACTCATCTCTTTTCTAGCACCCACCGTAAAACTTCCCTCGGCACCCTATCATATGCATTTTTTAAATCTATAAAGATCATATGTATGTTCGTCTTGGCTTTTCTGTACCTTTCTATCAGCATCCTATGAAGAAAAATGACTTCCGTGGTTGATCTGCCTAGCATGAAGCCAAATTGATTACCTAAGATGGTAGTTGTGGCCCTTAATCTCCTTTCGATAACTCTCTCCCAAAGTTTCATAGTGTGGTTTATTAACTTAACTTTATGTCCCTATAATTGTTACAATTCAGCACATCTCCTTTATTCTTAAAGATGGGGACAAGAATATTTTTTCTCCGTGCATCAGGCGTATACTTCTTTTTCAGTATCTCATTAAAAAGCTTAGTGAGCCACACAATTCTAGCATCTCCTAACGCCATCCGAACCTCTATTCAAATATCATCTGGCCCACATGTCTTCCCCTTTTTCATCTTCCGTAGTGCAGTTTTAACTTCAGAGACTTTGATTCTTGTTGTATACATCACATTAGGTTCTCCTTGTGACCTAAGATTGTCAAACTCTATCGCATGATCATCATTATAAAGCTTCTCAAAGTAACTCATCTACATTTCCCTAATGTTTTTATCTCTTGTCAGAACCTGATCCGTATCATTCTTAACACATCTCACTTGATTTAGGTCTTGACACTTCCTTTCTCTTATCTTAGCTAGTTTATATATATCATTCTCTAGTCTCAAGCTTCCTATATACCTCATCTAAGTAGAACGAACCTTACCAACTGCTCGCTTAGCTTCTTTCTTCGCTTCTTTGTACTTATTAAAAGTTTCAACATCCTTACGCTTTGGTAAATCTCTATATAAATCCCTCTTGGTCCTAATAGTCTTTTGAACTTCCTCACTCCACCACCAGATTTCTTTCCTAGATGGGCCTTTACCTCTAGATTCTCGTAGTACCTCTTTTGCCACTTTTTTAATGCAGTTGGCCATGGCATCCCACATAGTATTTACATCACCTACATATGACCAAGTAGCCTCATCTAACAACTTCTCTTTAAAGGTCAATTGCTTTATTCCCTTCAAATGCTACCAATGAGTTCGTGGGAGGTGGTTTATCTTAATTCTTCTATAGCAAAGCTTAATGCTCACATCTAAGATTGCTAACCTATGTTGGGTGGCTAGTGTTTCTCCAGGAATTACTTTACAATTTTTATGTAGAGAACGATCTCTATACCTGGTGAGAAAATAATCTATCTGGCTTAAGTTCCTTCCATTCTTAAAAGTTATCAAGTGAGAATCTCTTTTCTTGAAAAATGTGTTTGTTATGATAAAATCATGTCCCAACGCAAATTCCAAAATAGATTTTCCTTCTTCGTTTCGAGCTCCAAAACCAAAACAACCATGGATCCTTTTGAAGTTTTCGCTATCTTTACCAACGTGCCCATTGAAATCTCCTCCAATGAAAATGCTATCCTCATTGCTTATACGACACACTAAGTCATCCATGTCTTCCCAGAACTTGACTTTAGTTTCCGCATCCAATCCTATTTGTGGAGCGTAAGCACTAATTATATAGATGAAGTTATTTCCTAGTACCAATTTGAGCATACTAATTCTATCTACTATTCGCTTAATCTCAACTACGTCATCCTTCTCAGTTTTGTCCACTAAAATACCAACTCCATTGCGATTCCTTTCCCAACCTGTACCATAACTTGTGTCCTAAATTTTCAATCTCCTTTGCTTTCTCTCCTATCCACTTCGTTTCCTGTAAGCATAAAATGTTAAATTCTTCTTCTTATCATAACATCTACTAACTCCATAGATTTAGTAGTTAAAGAACTTACATTCCAACTACCTAAACGAATTTTCCTATCGGCTAGCTCTACCCCTTGCACACGTTCATGAATGTGCAAGGACCCCCCTTGCATTTTTTTCACCATATCCGGTGCCTGACATGGCGTATGGGCTCGCTTTTCCCCCCACACACGTCCATGAATGTGCAAAGACCCCTCTTGCCTATTTAACACTATACCTGGGGCCCGGCATAGCGCATCGCACGTAGGGAACGCCCAAACATATTCTATGTGAGTGAAATCCATGAGAGTGACTTAAGGCCTGTTTAGTTCGCTGATTCAAGTTTTTAATTCGAGTTGATATGTGATTTTATGTGAGAGCTTTTTACTGTATCAAAAAAGTTAAATGTGACTGTTTCTGAGAGCTTTTTGCTGTAGCAAAACTCGAATTCTAAACTCGAATCAATGAAATGAACGGGGCCTTATTTTTACGCTGGCCGTCAACCTACCGCAACCCTCCTCTTTTACCCGGGCTTGGGACCAGCTATACAAACGCATATGCGGAGTTAAGGGCAAAACCACTAAATACGATTAAATCCCTTCTCTAGTGTTGAGAATGATGGTGAATTACAGCACACCAGGTAACGAGAAAGAAAAGAAAAGATAGAGTTTTGAGGACCCTAACACCGCCAGGGGTCTGATTCTCACAATCTAACAACCAGACAAAATCCATCGCTCTGTACCTTCACTCCTTAAATCACCCTTTCCATAACAAACTCTCTAACCGACTCACACCTCAGCCTTCTAAATGTGAGGATTTACATTTCCCTCCCCTAAGTCTTTCCTAATCTCCTTTTCCCCTCGTGGAGACTGCCTAATTCTGTTTCTGCCCTTGCATAAACAAACTTAACCAGTGGCCTGACATATATGGTTTGTGAATGTGAAAACATATGAATTTCCTAATTTATATATATATTTTAAAAAATTTAGGCTTACGCCGCGCCTCATAAAAAGAAAACGCCACAGTACCCAATTGGGCAATTTTAAACCTTGCCTAATGTCACACAGTTCTTCAGCAATCCACCTTGCAAAGCTTAAGGCTGTCACTACTTTCATCTAGCTTTTCTGTAATTTCCCTAGACTGTTCAATTTTAGATAAGCTAAAAGCCTTCAAGTTACTTGTTTGTTCGTGTAAAGGTAAAATAAACCCAAATCCCACATTGTTTAAGTATCACTAACTTATGAGGACGTTGAGAATCCAATTTCTGCTGTTTGTGTATTGATGCATAGTTTGGAGTCTTTTAACAAAATCTGCTTTCTGGATTTGGCAATACACAAATCAGACACCTATTGTTCTCGTACCTGTTGGAGTACTCGTATCGTACTCCTAGTCCATGCAGCATATATATTTACGAACAAAAACACGGCTTTTCAGATATCCCAACCAAGAAGATAGTACGCTTTGCAGAAGGAATGTTTTGGTAACCATATTTTCCGTCTATCTTGTTACTCAAGAGTCAAAAGATATCTGTACTTCTAGCAATGGGTTGGTACAGAAAACTCATCAAATGATGTGAAAACTAAAAAGGAACTTTGGTGGGTTTCATGTAGAGTGTGCAATGCACAGGTGCTGCGTAGGGCATAGCATTTAGGTTACTTATCTAGTCACGTTAGTTAAAATCTTCTTCTTTGTGCCCGTTTCTTTTTGTCATAACCTTGAAATGTTTAACCCATCAAAATCAAGAAATGAATATATCCAAAAATAAAAAATAGAACTGTTTGATTGGATGAGAATGAATGAAGAAATACAAGTTGTCCCATATCGAATCTCGAACTTTGGTTTTTCCCTGAAATTTTGATACTTTATATAACTCTGTTGATTGTAATGTTATTCTAACAATTTAACTTGATTCATTCGTACTTGTGTGTATATTAGGCTTGAAATAAGCTGGTTGTTGTTCCTTTCTTTTTTGGGTTAATTTTCTGTATAATTTTTCTACAATTAGGTGGACATTCGAGTTGCACCTGGATCTCATTCAACTGAAGCTGCTGGTACCCTCGCTCTCTCTCTCTCTCTCTCTCTCTCTCTCTGGAACTTGTGAACTGTTTTATTTTTTTTTATTATTTTTTTTTTATGGTTGTATGCGCAGTTAATAAGCAACTGAATGACAAGGAAAGGGTTGCAGCAGCATTGGAAAACCCAAACCTTGTGGATATGGTTGATGAATGCTTAGCTCCGACCTATGGTTGAACAAATCATATAAAACCCAAATGCAGTTATGATCGTGATGCAAAATTTTGGCCTCTTATGTTTTGTATATGATTCTTTTCTAAGTTTAGAAGAATGAAATAATCTATCACAAGGAGGTGGCGAGAGCTATATAGTTCATGTGAAAGTAATGCTATCTATCTATCATTTTAACATTTTTAGTAGGTGTTCAAATTTGTAAGTGAGCTGAAAGATTCTTTTGCTATACGTTTGATCCCAATCTAGACTTTTTTTATTTTTCAATTATTAAGAAGTAAATATATTATTTTTTTTAGTCATCATCAAACAAGATTATTAATGTCTACAGTCTAGAGATAACGTTTCACTGCCGACACGTGTTCCGTTGAGTAGGGGGGAAAAAAAAAAGTATGCAAGGCTCAAGATTTTTTCTGTTCAAATTTTAACAGTGTTTGATGGATTGGATTATTAATGCCGTTAAAATTTAATGGAGGGTTTAGATTGGGGACTAATTGGTTGCAAACTTAAAAAATTAAGAACCTAACATGCCATTAACCCTTGGCTTTAGTGCCATTGGTCTCTTGATCTTGATTAATCTAATATTTTCATTGATTATAAAGGTGTTTTTGAAAGAGACATACATGGTGTGCCTATTAGGCTTCTTGTTGTCCGACCTAGGTATAGGTCTTCGTCCTTGAGCTTCATTCCAATTTACTAGTTGATTCAGTATTTGTTTGGGATTGAGCCTCCTCATGTGGTAGGATCATTCGTATTAGTATTAGTATCACTTTCTTATTAAATCCAATTTACCTTTTAAAAAAAAAAACAGACTTGTGATATTTCAATAAATTAGATTCTCCCAAAACCAATACAACAGTTCTCTCTGACAATAAGATTCCAATTATGTACAAAATTATTTGCAATTATTATCTCTTCTAATTTGATGTAGTAAATTGAAACGGTTTAATCAAAGAATGAAAGTGTAGAGACAATATTTCTGAGGTGGTTGCACCTATATGCACCTGCCTTTTGGGGGAAATTTGAGCTTAGGTACAAGCAATGTATAATGAAGTATATTCATTTTTTGGTTGTTGAAAGTGTACTATATAAATTTAATTTTCCCATGGAATTTATCTGTGTTTATTGTAATTGATGTCTGTCAACTGTCTTTTACATTTCGTCCACATTAGTTTGGTTCTTTAAAAATAATACATATGATCGACGAAAATGCATGGTTTTTTTTTTTTTTTTTGAAAAATAAATAAATAAATAAGTTAAAATAAAAAATAATAATGGTTTTGTCTGCTTTCAACAATAAATATCTTTACGTCGACCTTTTCTCATGATGCATTGAACAAGAGCAAAGTTTAAGGGAGAAAAGACAACTGAAAGATCAATTCGCTTAATTTTATTAATTCAAAAGTAATTGTACCATGAAGCTAATGCAAGTTCAAGAAGACTTATAAACTCCTCATATGAATTGAAAAATAAATAAATAAATAAATAAATAAAATTTCAGGACAGATATATAGTCTTTAGCTTTCTATTTTGTTTTGTTTTTGTTTCTTTATTGCATATAGTCAAGATATAATATCTGACTTACAAAAAAAAAAAAATTAATAAGAGAAAATTTTCATTATATATTTTTGAACTAATTACAGGAAATAAATGAAATGGACCGTAATTACTCGATCTTTGCATGATTGCGTCTAAATGTATGGTTTCTAGATTTAAGATGAAAAGTTCAACACGGCTTCAAGTGGAAGAGTACTTTTGATTGATTGATCTAGTCAATCAAATTTTGGTACTTATTATAAGGTAAGCTCAGAATGTCACTTTATTAGTAATTAAGTTGACTAGATCGTTTGATCAATTCAGTCAAATTTTGGAACTAATTGCAATAAGATAAGCTCAAAATGTCACTTTCTTAGTAATTAAGTTGATTAGCCCATAAAACAGAATAAAATGTGGTTGAGGAAGTGGCTTCATATATGTGATTCTCCAATCCTTTTCTGCTCGTTTATGCATGCATTTTAGTGACAATAAATTTAGTAAACCCAATGGGTTCAAATAATTCAGTCCAATCATGTTCAAACAAAAAATGGAGAAAAAACAAAAGTTGGAAGTCCAAATGATGTGACAATCAATTCAATTACAAATAATTATGCTCTAATGACAATAGGAGTAGATAACTGTCCATTTTAATGATGCTTATTCAAGAACAATTGAATCAAACTTACAGAATTGATGTAACTAAAATCCGACTAATTAAATTCATCCTATACCTTTTGGCAACGCCATAATTTGATTAATCTTAATGAGTTCTGGCTTAGAACTTACGCAAAGCAAGCAAGCGCACATATTTAATATTAATCAAGTGATCAATTAATAATTTTATTTTAGTTATTAAATTTCAAAATATTCCAAACTTCAAAGGATAGGTTCATCTTGGGTTTAGTCATTCTGTTAGTTGGCTGTTAAAAGAAGATACAATATAGATGATGTTCAGTTAGCACAATGTAACCCTTTCAGTAATTTGCTGTTAGTATCCCGTGTATATTTTGCTATTTTTTAACACTTAATTGATAAGAACAATTAAAATAAAAACGAATTATGCAAAGTCAGAGATATATAAAGTTCAGGAACCATTTTTAAGATTTGCCAAATCATATATAATAATTCATGATTGGTACTTATCGTTATCTAGTTAAAGCTTATATATGAAGATTGTAAACTTCTAGTTATCTTCAAAAGGTTGGTGATAAACAAACAAATTAGAAGTGAATAATAACAAATAGCTCGAGACAATTAAATACAAGAGCACATTGCGATGTTTCAAATCAGTTTAGGCTACGTGTACATATGATATTTATTAATTAAGAGACGTCTCAACAACTTTTATAAATTAAGCTTTACAATATAGAATGATGAGATTGAATTAAAAAAAAAAATTATCATCTATGGATTAAGAGATCTTGTTCGAATATCGATTACGACATATATATATATATATATATATATATTGAAGTTGTTAATAATTTCAAAACTCAATTATAGTTTAAGCTCAGAAAGTTAAGTCGAGTAAAAAACTCAGTTGAGAGAGAGAGAGAGAACTTTTTTAAGACTTATAAGTGCTTTTTTTTTATGAAAAAAACTACAAGTGTTCAAAGTTTGGACCTCAATTTTTGGTTATTATTTCTTTTTACCGAATTTGAATTAATTCAAATTTTCTAGCGACTAAATAAATCAAGAGATATGTGGGAATGATCCTTTTTAAATCATGTTTTTAATAAATAAATGTTCGAAGTTTCGTTAAATTAAGAGAAAATTGTTTTTTTTTTTTTTTTTTCAAAATGGTCAATCATGAGTGATCGAGCAATATTGATCATAGATTTGATCTGATTGATACGTTCTATGAAAAAGGGGGAAAAAAAACTTATATTTTTTAAAAGAGTTGGTCTAAACAGGACAGCTCACCTAATTTCTCATTAGGGGTTTCAATTGTCATGTATTTGTTTAATTCAGATAATTATTGGCACTATAAAAATGCATAAATAAACAGCATCCCAAAAAATAAAATAAAATAAAATAAAACCTGTATGTACTTAATTATTTGAATTCACATATTATGGATCATAAAACAATCGACAAAGATTGAAAACCAAAAAAAAAAAAAAAAAAAAATGTGTATATATTAATGAACCCCATATCAACGTTAAATTTACATCACCATATATAATGTATGCACGTATCACATATCTGACTGGTCGTCGGAAACAGAAATGACAGGACTCCGGCTCCTCCGCCTCGACTGACGGCGGTGACTTCCTCCGAACTTCAACCTGCCCGTGTCCTTGAACCGCCGCTTCTCTGACGGGATAATCACGCACTCTGGCGGCGGCACCGGGTACCTCAAGGTGTCGTAGCAATAGGAATAGTACATGTAATGCTGGCGGAATTTGCGCATGGCGGAGCGGCGGACCGGTGTGATGACGGCGTAGTCTTCCCTCTGGAGGCTGAGGTCCTTCTCGGCGCAGGCGACGAAGGCGGGAACTTCCTGAATAGGGTTTACCGGGCAGCCCTCGAGAACAAGGTCTTTGAATTCGGCTACAAAAGGTGCATATTTGTAGTTCACTTTGTATTTGCCACCGTTGGTGGCCCAAGTACTAGCATCCCATATTGTGGCATACAATGACATTGGCTTTGAAGGAAAATCGCCTCCCATTTCATCACTTCTTACAATCTCTCTGATGGGAACTTCATCAATGTAAAATCTGCAAAGATTAAATTAAATTAATTGTAATTTATGGGATAATAACACAAAATTAATTCCAAGCAACATTTAAAAAAAAAATAGGTATAACATTTTTAAAAATATAAGGTGGCATGCGAGATTAAAAAAAACACAAAAGAAAGTTTTTTTTTTTCATTTATCATTATTTAAAATGTGAAAAACAAAGTTTATGGATCGTATAAATAACATCAGAATGAATAACATCAGAATAAAACGATAGCTGAAATTTCATGAAATTAAATGAATATCTAATCTAATATTAAGTTTTCCCCATTTCAAAAAAAAAAAAAAAATAAGTGTTCGCCTAATATGTGATTTATGTTTTGATATAGAATTAATGAGTTGGTAGTAATCAAGTGTGACAGCTGGCAAAAAAGTGAAATTAATTAATTAGGATTATAGAGTACCATAAATGGAGAATAAATATGGAAATTAACGGTCAGTTTGGTGGCAAATTTGCTAGATAGAAAGAAAATCTAGGAGCTATTCTTTTGAGTTTGGGAACCTAACTAAAGTTTTTATCACTTTTGATATAAAAAGAATGCAGTTCACATGCTTTATTTTTTGCTCTTTATTTTTTAGGGGCAAAAAAGACATCAATAGGAAGAGTTCACATGCTCTATTTTCTAGCCCACGGACTCAATGTGTATCCTCTTTTGCTAGCTAAGTTTGTGGTCCAACATCCTCCTCTGACATTTACTTAATTTATAATTCATGAATATTTGTTAATTCAGATTTTAGGTCCCACCATATAATTAATTTTGAAGAAAATTCAGAAAATTAAAAAACTATGAAAAATCATAGGTTTGAGTATAAATTTTAAACAGATATTTAACTTTTTATGAGAAAAATATTATAGCAAAAAAGATCAATTGTGATTTGAATTTTTTTTTTTAAAAAGGTTAATTTTAGAGTTTTTTTATATATTTTTTTCTTAATCGTGTCACGCTATCCTTATCATGATAAAAGAAATTCATATAATATATATGGAAAAACAAATTTGATATTTAGACACTATATATTAATGTACTGGTCAAACAAAGGACGTAAAATATAAAATTAGACGACATATATTATTTCCTTGTGCAAAGGCAAATATTCTACTTTTCTCACCAAAAGTACCGAAAGGTCTGACATTTTTTAGCATAATTTAAAAGGTCAGCCTAGGCAAAGGTGACCACACAGATAGAATATTTACTAAATTTCTACCCCGTAAAAAAAAGGTACAAATAAACCAAACATGAATTGGGATTTCTCTACAAAAATAAAAATTTAGAGAAAATGAAAAAAAACAAAAAAGGCAAACAAAAGAAAGCTTCTTTTTTTTTCCCTTTTCTTTTCTTTTTTTTTTTTTTTTTTTCTTTCCTTCCTATGAATGTTGAATATTAATAAGGACATGCTTATCAAGTTGTCAAACTTTACACACCTGTGGCAACAAAATGCCCAGCTCTCTTTTTTGAGACTCTATTGAGGTCAAACAAATGGGCAACAAAAGTGTGTAAAGCCTACCACGTTAACAAGAACAATTCGCAGCCGAAAACTTTCCCAAACACAAACAATTAAGTAAAAACAGTTAAAAATAAGAAGAAAAAAAAACACTCAATATCCATGAAAAATTTTCTATATAAAATTACATTATTATCACTATTGTATTTCTAAACCAATTAAAAATTGACATGTGATACGGTTCGGTATAACTTAACATAGTACTCAGTAAAATAATGAGGAATTTTTGTACTCTAAATTTAATAAAGTGTCGCAGAGTTTTCTAAATCAATAACGCCTGCTAGAATTTGAAGGAAAACATATTGAATAAGTGGCGCGATTTGTAGTTATAACGTGGAATTTCAATTTTTGCCCTTTAAACAGGGGTCACATAACTTTTCTGAAGCACTCTTGTCTAAGTTCTAACATTTTTAAATGTGGGACACGTACAACAATTATTAAATCTAAAAAATAATTTATCGAATTAAAAGTTCAGGGGAGTAACTTTCTGCCAATTCGCAAAGTACGTAACCTAAAATAGTGATTATCATGAGTACTAATTGAGAAAAAGATAATGATCTAACTTACATGATGTTGTTGGGGGTCCAAAGAATGCTGTAGCGGTGGAACTCCTTGGTGGGGTCGAACCAGAGGCGGGAGCGCTCCTCTCGGCCGCGGCTGGTGCTGCCGTTGCCGTAGAGGTTGGTCTGAAACCGCCACGGCTTCCCTTCCACGTTCCCTAAGAACTCAAAGTCCAATTCATCATGTGTCTTCTCGAATACGTCACCATTTGATGTCTGTCACGTATATTTCATGGTACCAAACCAATCATACATAGGAAAAAACCAAGCCAATCCGTTATGATTCGTAATCATTGTGGAGGATATAGGTATGGGCAAGGGAAAAAAAATAATAATCAACATGTGAGAAAATACTATTTGTTCCTCCCTTTTATATTATATGTGTATATATATATACACACACACACACATATATCGTTCTTTTTTTCTTTCTATTAATTATGTGGTGTAAATTGGAAAATAACTTCTGTTAATCCTCTTAATTGAATCAAAACTGTAGAGTTAATAAAAATTGGAGATAAGTTTCGTGATTATTTTCTTTTTTTGGGAAAAAAAAAATTCATCATCTCTTTTCTTGTTAACAATATATCGTATATGAAATATAACCCAGAAATAAATGAGAATACAAATATATATTATTATATATAAAGGCAAAAAAAAAAAAAAAAGGAGTACTTACGTAGAAGGCAACACAAACTCCAGCGGTGTAATCCGATGGTAACTTAATGTTGGCGCTGAAGAATCCATGTTGGTAAAGACTTGATGATATAAAGCCAGACCCTATTCAGTTTTCACCAAAATCAAAATATTTCCAAATTTTTTTAAAAAAAAATCCCATGAAAATAAAATAAAAAAATTAGAATGCTTGATGATCATATATATATATATATATATATATATATAATATTTTGTCACCTGTGAAGCGGTCAAGGAGAAGGCGAACGGCTTTGCCGTCGGGGGAGCGGACGAGGTTGCCGTCGCCGAAGAGAGGGCGGTAGGCTTCGTCGAAAGGGACGGCGGCGAGGTTGAATGCGGCGGAGTTGGCGACGCAAAAGCACAGCATCGAAAGGACGAACAAGGCCAGAGAAACAAGCGTTAACGTTCTACCACTAGTCCTGCTATAATAATAACAATGCCTTTTACAGCCACGTATATTGTCGTCCATAATTTTTTTTTCTTCTCTTTTTCTTTTTGTTCCTTGCTTTTCTCTCTCCCTCTTTTTTTTTTAATTTCTTTGCTTTCTCTCTCCTACCCCTATCCCTTCTCTCTCGCTTTCTATGCAAGTAAATATATATACAACGAGAATTCAACGCAAAAGAATGGAAGAGAGAGAGAGAGAGAGAGAGATTAAGGAAATGATCTCTATTTGGTGTTTGTTTGGCATATTGGGTTATTTGGCTGCCAGTCGATTATCTTGACTCAAATATTGTTTGTAATGTACAAAAATGCCCTTTAATTTTTTTTTTCTTTTTTGATGTTATTATGAGATTTACCATTGGGGGGTCAGATTCTTTAATTAAAGGGTTGGTTTGCAAATTGCAAATTGTGTGAATATTTTTAAGAGGATTTGAGTATTAAATGGATTGGTTGTTAGTGATAATTACCGGCAGATAGCTAGAAAGATTTGTAATATCTGAGAGTTACGTGTACTGCCAAAATATGTCACCTATAGCTATCTGAAAGTCAAGCTGCGGATGATGAAAACAAAAATTATGAGGACTCATATGGGGGGTGTTTAATAAATACTTTAGTGCAAGAGGGGTTCTCATGCAAATTAATTAATATGTATTATCTAAATGGTTTAGTGTGGATATTAAATTATTAATGACCTATCATGCAAGAAAAAGGATAAAATAGCTAGAAAGTATGCTGGACAGGACATAACATAGCAAATGGTTTCTACTATCTAGCTAGTGGTGATCAGTTAATTTATAAAGGAAACATAAATAATTGTATAGTATTATTTTATTTTGTTGATGACCTTAGCCTCTTCATGGTGGTGGCTATACAAATATTTGTTACAACAAACGGAAAATAAGCAATATTAAAGGAAATATTATACTATCAAAAGGACCAAAAAAAAAATGTCATTTTTAAATTTTTTTCCTTTTTAAATAATGATTTGTGGGCTGGTCTCTCCAGAATATAAATTAGTTGTAGCAAAACAAAACTGCTGAAGAATCAAGATTCTTCCGTGTAAGCTTATGCTTAATGACCTTACACTAAAGAGGAGAGTACTTGACAACTCAATATTTACACTTAAAATGGCAAGGAGAAAACACCAAACTGATCAATTGTTTATACTAATTTTTTTTCTCAACCAATCCACTTAATTGTATCATGCTGGCATAAGTGTGACTAGAGTATAGTTAGCGATGGCCCACCAATTTTTTCATGATAAGACCATAATATTAGTGCTTTAACCCGTAGAATTATTATCAGCTAATAGCATCATGTGGTAGTAAATTTTCCATTAATATGAATTAAGATTTAGTGTTCTTAGCACCACCGTCTAATCACATTCTTTCGTGCAGTTATTTTCTAAAACTGAAAAGTAACGGTGTGAATTTACCGCCAGGTCGTTCCATGCATTATCTTGGTTTCCTAAGTGAACAAGAAGCATCACTGGGGGTGATAAACAAGTGTGTTTAGTATGTTTCACTAGTCTTAATTCAATACTATTACTATGACACTTCCTTGTTCATATTTTTTTAGGGAACTATGATTTTCTTATTATCGTGATGAACAGAAAAAAATTGAGACAATTCAATTTCTAACTTTGTAGAAATGTACATTATTGGGCAATTATAGTCAAATTTAATATTAATGTAGCTATGAGTTAAGGTTGAAAGAGCTATAGCAACCTGCCCCTTGAAAAATGTTGACCAAAACAATTATGTTTGAACAGTGAATAATTTTCTTTAAAAAAAAAAAAAAAAAAAAAAAAAAAAAAAAAAAAAGGGGGAAGAGGGTTAGTGAAACAAATCAATAATGTCCAATTAATATTGAATAGGTTGAGATTGAAATATTAATCTTCTGAGTTTGGTGAAACAAACACCGGTTGGTGGGCATTATTGTCCACATGAAAAATTAAAAAGGAAAGTAATGTAAAGGGACAGTCAAGAGGCGTAACCGCGTAAGAGATCACGTTTCGTAGTTAATTAAAGTAACTAAGGGTATTTTTGGTAAAACCAGTAACGGTTTGAAAGTTGAGACGTAAAAGGAAAAAAGAGGAGATTTTTATACATTGTTTGTCGGCCGAAAAACCGCGTCCTAAACTAACGGCGGTATCTTCAATTGCCATATGCTGCCGTTATTTGTTGTCTCCTATTTTTCCTCAAAGCTCTAAAAATCTACTGTAATTTTATCCCTAACGAGTAATTTTATCTAGTGATCTTTTCTTAAAAAGAAAGATTTATCTATTAGTTTTAACAGAATAACTAATGCTCGTTTCAACATAGACAAGTGATCAAGGACGGTCTATCAAGACTTTCTTATTTCATATATGAATCGATTTTTATTGGTCGTAATAAGGCTGAATTAAATTATTGTCTTAATCAGTGGACTATGGTTGGAGAGTTTGCTGAATTGACTATACCCTATAAAGTGAAATTAACAAATTGACATTCTTTAATTTTTAGAGTTCATGATTACTCGGTCACGCAATGTAAACAATAATCGTGTAGGATTATTCTTAAGTCATTTTGCAAATTAAAATTTCTGCAAGTTGTTTCTAAAATAAAACTTTCTCGTTATAAGTAATTATTACAAAAAATTGGACTAGGTGATTTTAAACTCTATGGATGTTAATTGATTAAAGTACACGCTACGTTTCTTTTCATTCCACATGTAGTCCCAACCAAGATGGTTGTGAATAGAAAGCTTAATTACACTATTTTTTTTTTCTTTTCAATTTGATGTATATAATTAATTTCATTAAACGTTCATGTGGAAGAAAGCGTCTAAATTTTTAACTATGGTTTCAATTCGACGCCAACATTACAATGAATTCTAAATTTAAGGAGTGAATTGTCAATATTAAAAGTTGAGGGACTAATTTACCAATCGCATAAAGTTGTGAGAGTGTCCGCACAAAAAAACCAATAAACTAATGCTTTTTTTTTCAAAAAAAATAAAAAAGATAACATCGAATGTCCGCACAAAAAAACCAATAAACAAACCAATAAACTAATACTTTTTTTTCGAAGAAAAAAAGATAACACGAATGCGATAAGGTAATACTGGTGTTGGTCACAACTAGATTAATTTTTAGAATATTTGATCAGGTCATACTTCGGATTCTGCAAACCTCTCTTATTAAAAAAAAAAAAAAGGAAGAAGAAGTTGCCGGCATCATTTTTTTTTAGAAAATACAACATGTAACATATTTATTACTAATATTTGAAGTAAATAACATATTTTTAAATGATAATAAATTATAGCCAATTCTCCTTTTGCTTCTAAAATAGTACTTTAATTTCCAAATTTACCTTTATTCAGATCTAATCCCAAATGCTAACCCTAACCAAACAATTCTCTCTCACTCTCTTTCTCTCTTCCATCCAGCAATCCCACGTCGGCGTCACTGTCACCATTGAAGGCTGCCATGGCCTGAGCTCCATCGCGTGAGAGACAACTTTTTTGTCTATAGCATCGTGAGGCCTCCTTTTTCGCCGATGCCGATTTAACCATCGCGAGGCGTTTTTCTTCTCCAGTGCCGATTCAACTGTTCTAAAGCATGCTTCTCCTTCTACGCCGCGATTCAACTGTCAAATGAGAAAATCGTGACTCCGATCTCAGCGAACTCATTACTCGAATCTCAGTTATCCTGGTAAATATGATATTTATTGGTAAATACAATGTTAAACAGTCGCTGGAGTCGGTGGCCAGATTTTCAGACAAATATGATATTTACTAGTAAATACGATATACAGTGTTAAACGATCGCTAAAAAATAGTCGCCGAAAAAATGATCGCAGTCGTCAGAAAACAGTCACCGATCATCAGAGGCGGTAGCCAGAGTTGGTTGCCGGAGCTGATCGTCAATCACCGGTACTGGTCGTGGTGGACTTGAATATAGGGAGAAGAAGAGAGAGGTTGAAATGATGCTTAAGGGTATTTTTGGTTTTTTAATATTTTAATATATCAAATTATACTATAATCTATTAATTTTAAAAAACATGTGGTAATTTCTTAATCACTTTAACAATTATGCTATTTCACTCCCTATCCCTTTTTTTAATCATATTTTTGAAGGATACGTGCTTTTATCCATAGTGTTTTAGCAACATAATATCAATCACTTGTATCTTAAATGAACATTATGAAATTATAAATATAAATAAGAAAAAGTTTCATGTTATAGTGACCACAAAAGTTGGCAAGTAAATTGTTTCTGAAGTATTATTTAACGATTAGGTATTATTCAAAGCGATCTTTTTATGTAATAAAATGATATTTTGTAGGACAATACAATATATTAAAAATTAAAATATATATCATAGTAAAAAATTGTTTGATCGAAATGAGTGCAACTTCAATTGATATTAAAATTTTAAGAAACAAATTTACCTTAAAAGAATTTAAGAAACAAATCAATTATTCATAGAATTACTTGAATTAAAATTCTCTAATCACGCATAACGTCACTACAACAAATATGCCCATTTGCGACGACATTTTTTGCGACGACATTTGTCGTCGCAAAAAGTAGAATATTTGCGATGACATGTCGTCGCAAATAATCTCCGTTTAAAAAAACCCACATGTCGTCGCTAATAAATTCGTTGTCGTCGCAAATAATTTTACCGCGCAAATTTCGATGGCGCGGATTTTTAGCACGAATGTAACCCACGTTTTACCGACGACAATTGGCCATATTTGCGACGACAAGTCGTCGCAAATAAGTTTAGATTATTTGCGACGACATTGTTTCATTGTCGTCGCAAATAATCTAGTTGACGAGCAAGTATGGGCGGGAAAAAAACATTATTTGTGACGATGTTTGTGTTATTTGCGACGAAAATGTCGTCGCAAATATTTTTTTATTTGCGACGACATTTTAAATTTATTTGCGACGACAAAGTCGTCGCAAATAACTGCCCTAATTAGTGTTCTCGCCTTCTTCTTCTTCATTTTCTCCCGACTCTCTCTCTCTCTCTTTATCCTGCAAAATCTCTCTCTCTCTCTCGTGCGATATCTCTCGCCGCCTCCTCTTTCCGTCGCCGTTGCCGCCGTCGCCGCTCCCGTTGCCGGCCGTTCTTCTCTTTGTTCCCTTCTCTCTTCCCTTCTTTCTCTCTCTCTTCCCTTCTTTCTCTCTCTCTCTTCTTCCCCTCTCCTTCCGCCGCCCCCTGCCGCCGGCCGGCCCTCCCCTTCCC